GTTTGGCAGTCACTTTCTTTTGTGTCCTACTTGGCCAATTTGGACAGCATACTGTCAGTAGTCAAGGGAAGGGAAGTTTCTTGTCCAGTGGCTAACTTTCGCCACAAAGAACGTAAACTCCATATGGAATTTCTTCAATGCCCATCATCTTCTCTGTAGTAGATTGGTGCTGCCAGGTACAAACATGACTCATTATCATAAAAAAATGAACCTATGTTATTAAAACATCTTAAAGGCCATATTCTGTAGATCTCTGAAGTGTTTGAAGACCATTTGTCTACCTAAAATGTTTCTGTTTGACCTTGAAAACATATCTAATATGACTACAAGTTTGTAATGGTGACTACTAATCTGCATTTCTTTGTTATCCTAAATAGTTTTTAATTTTAAATTTCAAGGACTACAAATTTGCATTACATTGTTAAATGAGCTGTATAGGTACAATATTTTGAACAAGATTAGAAATGTATGCAGTATCTTCTAACAAAAATAACCTTAAATTTGTATCAATATACAAAAATTCATATTGATGTAAAATATTTAAAACCAATACTTCCTTTTTTGGTTTAAAGGTAGATTCAATAATCTACCTTTTTATACTATCATTTCTTTAACATATATATATATATAGTATAACAAAAATAACTTCAATTTTGTATCAATATACAAAAATCCAAGCCAACATAAAATATTTAAACCAGTAGTGGTTTTTTGGTTTAAAAGATTCAATAATTATATCCTATCATATCTATAGCCTCCCTTTTTTTCTTTAGAATGAGAATCTGGAATCTAATCTCCTTGTTTTTTCAGCTTTTTTCCTGACCATTACCAATAACGACTTGTAACCAACCTTCCTAAACAATGACAAATACCTATAACACATTGAATGACCAATAACCACCCACCCCACCTCTTGGGAATGAGGGCATTGTGTTCTTAAAATTACTTCCTTCTGTTTAGGGGTAATAGCATCTTTAAGGGAACCTGAAAAAAAGTGGGTTGATTTTCAAGTCCTGGGAGAGCTGGCTATATCATTTGTCATCCAGTTCTGCATAATGGGAAAATGCAGGGCTTATCTCAAGTCCTGGCTAGAGTAGTGGTAAGGCTGGACCATCTCAGCTAGCCACCATCAATTTGTCCTGAGCAATTTGGAGTCCAAAGCCAATTTTTAGGTGGTGTTTTTCAGTTAGTGGCATTATCATAGTTCTGGTGGAATTGTCACTGAGGGGCCTCATCCTCCTTTTGGAGACTTCAAAGTCGCTATTAGGCACGGTTGTGGTTCACCACAGAGAATTAAACATTTTAAATGTCATATGCAGCAGATCTCAAAGAGGTTAAAGGATCAGTATTTGTTATGTACATCCAGAGTACAAAACCTTAATTCCTAGTTGCTTGACAGAAACTCAAACCTGAAATCATGTACAGGAAGCTAGATGAAGTCTTTTTCTAGAATTAGTTAGTATTCTATATGACCTTTAATATCATGAAAAAAGTTTAAATATATATTAATCTTATAAATTTTGAGATAATATTAATGCCTATGAAAAAGTTTCAAAGAGTCAAAATAAAAACCAAAGGATTATGAGATTAGTCACAAAAAATATAGTCTCTAAATTTTGGGTTTTCTTTTGTCCCTTACCAGGTGGCTCTTCTGACATGAGACGGAGATTTTGCATTTTACTTTAACAAGCATACTTGGGTTTAGAGGAGAGAGCCATGCTCCAACTCCAAAGCCAGCTTTAATTTGTAATTTGACTGGGATTACAAAAAGACCATTTGCAATATGTGTCTGTAGAGAACAACAGAAACAAACATCTGGAAAGATTTATGAAATTTTATCATGTTTTAGATGTGATATACCAATAGGCCAATTTACTCTTTTTCTTGAGACATATTTTTGGATATTTTGTCCTTTTTCTTTACATGTCTCTGTAATGGCCATGTGTGAGCCTCCCCCGCTCCCTCCAATAAGACCACCAAGGAGCCGATTTCCAATGCAAGAACAAAAGGTTTCGTTTATCCCAGCCTAGGCAGGGAACTTCCAAACACCATTTTACAGTAGGTGAAAAGAAGGAAGGTGCAGAGCACTCACTTTAAGGGGATTATATAGGAAAGATTCACATGCAGAATGTTACATATCTCGGGGGCAAGGATGGGGTAAGCATAAGGTTGCTAATTGCTAACAGGGTTCAGGGTATCTATAGAGACATACATCTTTATTCCCTATGTCCTGTTTTTGTTGATTTATTCAGAATTATTGTTGCAGTCCTACACTCTCTTTTGAGTTCAACTTCTGGTCAATCAAGCCCATTACTCTTTCTGTGTTGTTTTGCCAAGTCTAGGATACACAGATTTATTATCCCAGCCTTATCTTTCCCACAGGTTCAACTTCTGGTCAATTCAAAAAATGCTGGTCAGCAAATACCTTTAGAGGAAGAAGGGGGAAGGGGAAGGAATGTCTTTTAAGATGGCTACTAATTTCTTCCTTTCAGCTACTAATTTTTCCCTTTCATTCTCATTTGTCCAATGGTCTTCAGATTCCTTATCTAGAAGTCTTCATTCTCTTGAAAAAACAAAAACCAAACCCTACCCCAAACCTAACTTTGGGGAGGTTCTCCTTTGGAAAGTTGTATCTGATCAAATGAGATGCATTTGTTAGTCCTATAAGTTAGCTTAGATTGAATAGTCACACTGTTTGATAAACTATGACCCTAGATTTTTAATTGCTCTGGGAAGGACTTTCCTCCATGGTGACAGGAAGGGACTGAACCAAATTTCTAATGGGGGCCTCTCACACACCCCTCAAGGCATTTCCCACTGGCAAAGAGTTACCTTCACTGTCCTTTGTTGATCTACATTCATTGGTCCAATGCCTGCCTTTGTCATACCTTTTGCATAATACAGATAGGAAAGGCATTCTGTTTGGATTATGCTTAGAAAAGGCATTGTTTCTAGGAACACACTGTTTACAATCCCTTTTTAGGTGACCTTGTTTACTGCAATTGAAACTCTTGACACATATATTTTTATTCAAAACTCTGAAAATCACCTCTCCTATATAAGAATTATCATGGTTCTGACACTCAATATTGATTATATCTCAGATCCATTTCTCCAAGGGTGCTGATCTTGCTTAACAGCCTAATAACATTTTTGCATTGTGCATTAGCATTCTCAAAAGCCAAAGATTCAATTAATATTTGAGTACCTTCTGAATTTGGTATCATTCTATTTACTGCTGAAGTCAATCTTTGTAAGAAATCAGTGTAGGTTTCCTTTGGGCCATGTATAACTTCAGTAAATGTCTCAAATTTCTTTTCTACTTCAATTTTGTCCCAAGCATTCAAAATGCTGCAGGGAATAAAGCCAAGGTGTGGTCATGATATATAGACTGTCTTTGTACATCAGCATAATCTTCATCTCCAAAAAGTTAGTCTTGGGAGATTTCCACACCTCTATCCCTACTTAATTGTTCAGTGGTATTAGCCTCATCTTTCCACCAGGTCCTCCATTGTAATTGAGGACCAGGCTCCAAGATTGCTATAACCAAGTCTGTCCCGTCTTGAGAGATAATTCTATTACAAGTTGTCCAGATGTTTAATATCTGCTTCACAAAAGGTGAATGCAGGCCATATGAGATTATTGCTTCCTTGTATCTACTTAAATCTAACATTTCCAAAGGAGTCCAATCAGGTCTTATACAGCCTTGGGAATATCTATCATTTCACAATCCCTGTAAGGTTATTGGATAAATTAAAGTCACTTGTTTGAAAACCTTAGGCTGTTCCTCTCTAAACTTACTATGCAATGATGATATTGGTTCTTCTTTAAATACCTGTGTCTTGGTCTGACTATCTCTATGATCTGTTTTAATAAGTTTTTCTAAAATTTATACCTTAGCACTCATATTAACCAACATTTTAGTGATAAATCAAAAATGATAAAACTTAAAATTGACATTGCACAAATCCCATCTAAATTAATTATCCTCTCATTAAATTGCTCCATTTTCAACCATCCAGCACATTACCATGGATAGTCCTAACTCCTTCCATCACAATAGTGTTTCCCATTTTTTAACGTGGAAAAAACTCTCTCTTTCAACTAATTGCTCCCTTAAAGAACTCCCAATTGTCTCACCAAATCTGCTGACAACGGTGATCAGATGAAGGTGAAATGTGAAGCTGACTGCTGCTGTGTAGAACGGTAGAAGCCTGAGAGGGTTTCAAGGCAGCCAGAGGAGGGGGTTCAGGGAAAGCCCACAACCCGCCTGGAGAGAAGAAGGCGAAGACCCAGACCTCTGCACAGGGAATGTGCCAAAGCAGCTAACTCTTGTGGCATGTGGAGTCCAAATGCCTGTGGAGTTTGCTGCAGAGAGGCCCTGACCGAAAAATCCCAAACTCACTCAGGTGGGCCCTAGGAGCCTTTCCCTTTGCTAGATTGATTGTGGTCTAGTGTGAGGTCAGTGCAGGTCAGTACGGCTGCTGTTGGTTACTGATTGCCACAGCTGTGTGGAGTCCAGAGAATGGCAAGTTTTAGTTCTCTCTCTTTCCCTTATTTCCTTTCCAACTCCCCTTCCTCAGTGTCCCCGGAGCCATAGATGGGATGTCGTAACTGACGTTTTTAGGGCTGGAGCCACATATCTTACTCATTTTCTGTATCTGGGACCGCAAGAGCCTCTGCATTCACCACTGCATTAAAAGTGTTTCTCTATACTTTATGTAAATGTACCTTTAGCATTAGTCTAAAAACTTGTCTGAGTTAGCAAAATAACAAGGCCACCGTCTAGTGGTGACAGCTGTACAGCTAGGCGTGAACTCAGTCCACTGACTTCTGGAGACACCATTTCTATTCATATTCAAAGTTCCTGAAACGTCTCTCCCCAAGGCACAGTTGCAGTATTTTGTTTTGGCTTGTCAAGTTTGTGTTAGCGATGGGACGCTGGCATCTGAATGTAGCCTGTTACCGTTTGTGTTTTATCTGAAGGGTTCGGAACTCACTGTGGGGCTCAGAAACCGGGGTGCAGCGTCTTCCTAGATCCAGGTCTGGTCTAGGCTGGCAGCGAGCATGTGGGGAGGCTGTGCAGAGCGGGTGCAGGGCAGCCTGACAGCTGGAGCTGTGTGGAAGGCAGCCTGAGACAGGGTGGGAGGGATCGGTCCCCAATGGGCGGGGACACTCACCCGGAAACAGCAGCTGGGAGGATGTGGAGCATTGGCTGAGCGTAGGGGAAAAGTGGAGCGTGGGCGGGGTTAAAGTGGTGACGTAAACGGAAGCTGGGACACAAAGTGAGCACAGGGAGGTAGGTCAGTATCCGATGTCAGCAGTGAATCGTGCCCATTCCCTGTTGCTGCTCCGGGTCCTGCACCGTGGGGATTCTCATGGTGCAGACCTGGGTGCGGAGGACACGGCTCGGTGTCGGGGGGACCTGAAATCTCCCCGGAGCCGCAGTCGCCGCGCGGGGCGGCCTGGGAAAGTCACCAGTCAGCAGCGCAGTGGCGGGAACCGCAGCCCGGCGGCCCTGGAACCTCCCAGGTCAGAAGAGCTGCGGGGCTGGGACACGGGAGGGGAGGGACCAGGGGTGCGAGCAGTTTCTCTGCTGTTCATAAGGAAGCCGGCTCTGAAGTTCTGCTGTGAATGTCTTTCCCTTGGTGTATTTTATTTAGATCATAGGAAATAAACCTGCATTTTCTTACTGATTGCCAAAATATTCTTGTAAGAATAATATAATCGAAAATTTGAATTTATCTGTTGAGATTTGCAAACACGATTCTCTTTGCTACGATGGAAACGACAAAACGGTTGAAATTTACAAACATCCATACTAACTTCCGATTCAAGATTCAAGAGAGTGAATTTACTTGAAGAATTGGAATCTCCCAGAACTTTTAGATAATAGTCATGAAAGGAATGCCTGCAAATTTAATTGAATCTGAAACTTTTTTTTTTTGCTAGTTCCACAGTATACTTATAAACATTTCCTTTTAAAAGTAAACCTTTATCCACAATTAATCATCCATCTGAGACATGTGCACACTGGGATGTAAATACAGCATTCTGAAAAGTGTCTTTGCCAGGCCTGGTGGCACAGGCCTTTAATCCCAACACCCAGAGTCAGGTGGATCGCAGTCTATTAGAGGCTGCAAGGTGTACATGGTGAATTCAAGGACAGAAAAACCCTGATCCAAGGGAAAATAGAAAATGACAAAAGACATTGAAATGCATTATAGTATAGAATAATTTTAGATAGCATCTTTTGAGTAATTACGATAACTCATCTACATCAGAAAAATGTCTGCAATAGTCTTTTGTCTCCTTAGTCCAAGAAAAGCACTCTGACCCTGGACACACAACCAAACTGTTATTTTTGGTTCTTGTGTTTGCTGTGTTTGAGACCTGAACTTACAGTGTTGCTGTGTCTGGCCCAATCTCACCATGTAGACCAACCAAGCTGGACAGGAGAACACAGAATTCTACCCACCTGTTTCTCCCAAGTGCTAAGATTAAATGTGTGCACCAACAAGACGATTCAAACTGTTGTTTTTTCTTTTGTGGTCTCTTGACAGCCAGTGGTGTGACTGTGGACTTCTCTTGGAGTGGCAATGCCTGGACTCATCCCTGACGGCTTTGTACTGGCACTGGATATTGCAGAATTGCAGCAGAATAGTTTCTGTTGCTGAGAATTGTTTCCTTGCAGTCTTCCTTGCTCCTCCTTAGTATTTCTTGACAAACTAATCTGCCACTGTGTGAACTTTATGTGAATGAGTCTCACATCCCACAGAATAAAGTGAAATCCTCAGAGGAAAAAAGAAAATTTTCATGATATCTTCTCTCTTCTTCATGTGTGTTCCTTGGGGAGATATAAGACTTTATCACCATTGGTCCATGATCATTTAAGAACCTCACTAGTGTATAATATTCTCTTCCCAATCATTCACTACCATTTCTGCCCTTGAGTTTTGACTGAACTGTGATTGGAAGTGGGATTCAAGATACAATAACTAAAAATGCTTTCTAATTGTTTTCAGTATTGTGACCAAGCAGGACAGTTGGGGAATCATTTTATAATCCTGTATTTAGTTTTCTCCTCATCTCCTGAGCACAGTACTGTGTTAGAAATCCAGGTGCTTCCTGAACAATCTCTTTCTCTTGTGCAGGGCTCACTGATCACCCAGACCTGCTCACCTGTGCAGCAGAACAAAGTGGCCTGGAAGGAGAGAAGAGACAGGAGCTAAGGATCCAGGTATGGTGGAGACACTGGTGAAGGAGTGGAAAGGGGATCAAGTGAATGTGAAAGTGGGACATGAAATCAGTTTTCCCACATTTTGTTTCACAAGAGATAATTCTGGAGACTCCCACTGAAAAAAATCTCAGGATTATTTTAATGTAGGCATGAGAAAACTTTCTTCAGAAGAATTGATAATGGAGTCAAATGAAATTCCATTTGACTATGTGAGTGCTTCTATCCTTATTCATTCATATCATGGATCATGTTTTCATACCATTATTATTTCTTTCATACCATTATTATTTCTTTGATTTTAATCTGTTATAAAAATGATGAAAATTAATACGTCTAGTTTTATTTATTGTTTTCAGAATTTTTGAGTTTTGATATTCTAGCACATTCTCTACCCTTTAGTGTTTTTGTCTCCATTCCTGAATATAATGCCAATGGAGTTTTGATAAGAATCAAGTATATTGACAGCCTGGTACACTCTATACTGTCTCCTATTGCCTGTTGGATATTAGGATAAATATTTAGAATGTACTAGGAGTTATGCTGATTTGGTAAAGTATTGGTTATAGGTTCTCCTCTAAGACCCATTCCTTTACTAACTCTGGAGAAACAAGCTAGGTTTCTAGTACCAGGCATGTCTTTCCTCTTGTCGAGAGGGTCTTAATCCAATTAGAAGCTGTTGGTTACAACCTAATTATGTGTGCCACTTTTGCACCCTTAGGGCTATCATGCAGTGCAGATCATTGTTGTAGTTCATAGGTGTCATAGCTGGATAGGACAGTTGGTTGGCTCCCTCCTTTGGAAGGTTACATGTCACCTAATACCATGAAAGCTAGTCCCTAGAGAGGAGGTTTAAGGTCAGTTCCATCTTGAGTTCTCTAGTATTTGTGTCTGAAGTGTGTGGCTTCTTCAACACTAGATACTCAACTTCTGCCTCTAGGAGGGACCCATGGGCAACAGCAATACTGTGTAATGTTTGGAAGTCTCTTGAACACCTCTGAACAACAACTTCAAAGCAGGCTTCTTATACCTGGTCTTGGTCATTTTGTTAGAAATTCTTTGGCTCTTGTGAGGAGCATCATCATTCCAGTTGGAAAATTTTCATTTATTCTCTAAATATATATGTTTACAGAGACTTAGATATATTATAGGAGGGTTTTTTTTTTTTTTTTGATGGTTGGATAACAATCAAGGAATAAATGGATTCCTTATGAATTTTCCAGACATCCTTACTGTTATTTTATCTTTCTTCTTCTGTGTTTATATCTGTCCCTTTTCCATAATTAAATCTTCACCCCTTTTTTTCCCATTTCCCCCTTCAGATCACTTGTTCCCTGTTACTCCATCTCTATTACTCCCCCACATCACACTGTGATCTCTTCTTACTTTTCTGGTTACTGCAGTCATTCCAGGTTGTGTACTCACATCTGAAGATTTGGAACTAAGAACTTCCTATGAAAGAACATGCAATGTCTATCTTTCTGAGTCCAGGTTACCTCGCTCAGTATGGTCTTTTCTAGGTCCATCCATTTACCGGCAATACTCATTATTTCAATTTTGTTTACAAGAATAGTATTCCGTAATGTTTTTGTACCAAACTTTCACTATCCAATTGTCAGTTGAAGGACATTTAGATTATTTCCAGTTTCTAGTATTGAACATGGTTGAGAAAGTATGTGTGTAGTAGGATGTCAAGTCCCTTGAGTGTACACCAAGGAAAGGAACAGCTGGGTCATGGGCTGAATTTATTTAACTTGAGAGTTTGTTTGTTTAATCGAGGATTCTATATTTTGATTTTCTGTATGGCTAGTTTTTTTTTTTTTCCATTGAGTTTTTATTTCCTGTTTTGTTTTTATTGTTGCTGGTTGGATTTTGGTAGTGTTCTTCCTTCTTTTTGAGCAATAGCGGTTTGCTGTCTTGCCCATGGATGATTATTCTCCCGTTCTCCTGTATTTCTCTATTCTTCACATGAAATTGGTTATTTCCCATGTTCTCATGAATGATTTCTCTAACTCTCCTGTATATGTTTTGCCTCTAATTTATTATCTGTTGTGCTTCTTTAGTGAAATCAATTATGTTAATTGCTGACTATCTTGACATGCACTTAATTGTCTATCAATTTTAAGAGAGTAGTGTAGATGACTACAGAGTAGTTTTCTTTGTGCAGCAAGATGCTTGATGGTAATTTTCTCTTCAAGCTTCAAATCTTTCCATGCTCTCCTGCTTTGATATCATTGACTAGACACCTGGTAGATTTCTGTTGCTTGTGTCTTTTCATGTACTTTGATATTGTTCTCTAACAACTTTCAGTATTAATTTTCACTCTTCCTTTTTGACCCCTTAATTTAAAAGGGAAGTGACCATCTATTCATTGTTTCTGAAAGAAAAACTCAAAGAAGAGAAACATAAGAAATGGCTGATTCTCCAGTAAACATGTTGCAGGTCAGTGGTCCTTTCCACTCTTTATCTAAATATGTTATACTTTGATGTATTAAAAGCCTTTAATTTTCTGATTCTGATAATTTTTTAAAAATTTTATTATGAGCTATTCTGCAGACAGGGAAACAACAAAATCACACACTGAAATTAAGCAGACCCAAAGACTATACAACTCATTGTACTTTTATACAGTTAGAGTCATCATAGGGAACAGAAGCTCTAGAGCTTTATGTGTGATTTTATATTTTCACAATCAATTATATTTTGATTTACTTATTTACCACCAAAACCCAAAAAAACCTTTGACAGAATTAGAACTAGAAAAGCAATTAGCTTTATATCCTTTTTTCATAACTGATGTCCATTACCTGCATTCAGTCCCTGATAATTTAACCTTTCCTGTTCTCTTTTCTCCATGTTATACATTGCCCACATATACATTGCTTCTATATATGTATATTATTGGGTAGGTTCTGCATATGAGGAAAAACACTGTGTCTTCTTTCTGA